TCTTAGATCCAAGCCCTCCCTATTCGCCGTCGCCGCCTTCACCCACAACCACGTCGCTGCCCAACATCCCCTTAGCTTCGTCATTGCCGCTAACGCCGTGCACAGCCCGACACCCACCGTCGAACCCCTCTCAAGATCGTCGTCGCACCGCCGTAGTATATTCGTTCGACGATATCCTGAGGTAAGATCCTGATACTCTCTTGACTTGTCATTCAATTCTTAGATCCGTTGTGAATAATTTGGTTGCTTACAAGATCTCACTTCCCTTTGACTTGTCATTTCAATATTCATATCTGCTATTTCTGATTTTTTTCATAGATTAGTTGTGATATAATTATCTGCATGGGATTGTTTGATGAAGAATACTAGATAAATCATAATAATATAATAAATAGCATTTTCCGAATAATTATGATAAATTAAAAGAATTTATTTCTGTAGCAGAATCATTTTCAGATAATTACATTAATTTAAAAAGAATTTATTTTGAGAACGGTATTATTTTTAGGAAATTTAGAATTGTTTTAGAAAGAATTATCTTAGAAAAGAATTATTTTAGAATAATTATGAATAAATTAAAGGAATTTATTTTGTAAAGAGAATTATTTTAGATTAATTATAATTAGAAAAGAAATTATTTTGGGAGAGGGAACATTAAAAAGAATATTTAAAGAATGTTTTTGGAATTATTTAAAGAGGTTCTTTTGGAAAATGAATTTATTTTGAAGTAAATAAATTTATTATTTTAGAGGATCATTTTAGAAAATTTTTATGTTTCCTGATTCTCAGATTTAATTACCTGATATGGCATGATATTATTGCACATGATTTATTATGTCTTGTTGCGATGGAGAACCGTTGATAGTTATGACTTAGTGGCTTCATGCGTTATGAGTAGACTTAGCGACATGTGTGGGTGTGTTGACTGAGTTTAGGTGGTGAACCCGATTTTCAATGTGGATTATGTTTGACTTAGAAAACAAGAAGAGTGAGGATGGGGAAGTCCATGTTCATGTGATCGGATATAGTTGTTGATGTATCTTCCAAGCTCGCGCCAGTGAATTCGTATAGTCACTGGGGTTGGTTTGTTGGTCTAAAGTGAATTCGTGTAGTCACTTTAGTCCATGACCTGTTTCATCACCTGAGCTTTGCCTGAGTTCGGACCAGGCCGAGATCGGATTGCGTGTATCCTCTGACCGATTCGTGTAGCGGTATTGGATGCGCGTAGAGGATTTGTGAACAGTCAGTATCCGATGATAGGAGCGTTGACTCTGTGTGAGATGTGACCAGTGACCTGTTATAGAATGACTAGTTACATGACCTCGTTCTTGGCTAGGTATGATTTCTTGTGAGATATAGGCCAGTTGTGTTTCTTTTCATACATAGATCGGGATTAATATTTAATTATTTACAATTCGAGACATATGGTATATACATGAGGGTTTCCTTATTTGGATTATTTTGCTCGATGTACTATGTTTCGAGTTGTAGATTTTTAAGTATTAATTTCATCTAGTTGTATGACCTTGTGACTTGCACTACAACAAAACTGTTTTTTTATAGCGTTGAATGATAGCGTTTATGTTATAAGTGCTATAAATTGTATGTGACTTATTTTTTAATAGCGTTTGAAAAATTTTAAACGCTATAAATAATTGATCACATTTTTTTTGTTAAGCCGCGTTGATATCTTAAGCGGGAGACTGAAAAATAAACCCGCGCATTGAAAACGAGGGAGAGATTGGTGTTATATTTTTGTTTCCTTTTATTTTTCTAAAACCCACACGAATAATTAGTTCCCGTTCCTTTTCTTTCACCCAAACCCTAATAGCCCTCCGACTCATCGCTGCCGCCTCGGAGTCGTCGCCGGTGTCGCCTCCGACTGGCTGTCGCAGCATCTCGCCGCCGTTGCCGCCTCCAAACCCGACCCTCTTCTTCTTTGATCACCAGAGACAGACCCCTCCTCGGCTCCTCGTCTCTCGTCCACCGCCGGAGCCCCTCCTCGTCTCTCGTGAACCGCCGGAGCCTTTCCTCGTCTCTCGTCCACCTCCGAAACCCTTTTCTTTTGAAGATCCGTGGGATTAATTTGAGAATCTGAAAGGTTTAAGAGAATCTAAAAACCCTTTTCTTTTGATTTTTGATGTCATTTTTGGGTAGTTATTTTGTGAGATTAGTTTTGATGAATTTGTGGTTTATTTGTGATGCATCTGATTGAAATTGTATAAATAGACAATCAACTATGATTGACATCACACACAATAACTCCTACAGTCTTGAAATCGTGGTCCTTGCTGGTTATCATGTCAAGGGAAACGCATCATAGTCATAGGCGTTTGGTATTTTTCTAGGGGTGATGTAGGTTAATTTGTAGAAATCTTAATTTTTCTTGCCTGATTTCACTTTGTGATCGTTAAGTCCTAATAAAGCTCAACGTTAGCATATATAATCTGATTTATATATATCTAGACCTAAGGTTGATTTCCAAACGCAAACTTGATGTAGCTGTCAATACATTGCTTTAACATTGCTTGTAAAATAAATAAAGTAAAAAAGTAAAAGTGCACCTGAGTCCATTTTGAGCTCCGCATCCCTACCTTTTCTCTTCATATATAGGCATCTAGATTCCCTTTAAGATGTATGTTGCTAATGAAGCTGGAAACCTGATGCAACTAGATTATCTAGATTTTTTAATAGATTATGCCAGCGTGCTATTGATTATGCCAGACCATATGAAGATCCGTGGGATTAATTTGAAGATCCGTGGGATTAATTTGAGAATCTGAAAGGTTTAAGAGAATCTGAAAACCCTTTTCTTTTGATTTTTGATGTCATTTTTGGGTAGTTATTTTGTGAGATTAGTTTTGATGAATTTTTGGTTTATTTGTGATGCAGAGCACTTGCAGATCAGGGAGAAATCTGAAGAACAGTATTCCTTTGAAATTCCTTTTGAAATTCTTGTTGAGTTTAATTTGATAACTGGGTAAGAGTTTAATTTTGTTTTACTGTTAGGTATTTGAATGATAATTGTGTATTAGTTTGTTTATGGTGTTCAATTTTAGTCTGGGTTTAGGATTTAAGTTTATTATATGTTTCATTCGAATGGTATACTTGGTATGATAATGAGAATGGGTTTAGGATTTTAGGCTGGGTTTAGTTTAATTTTGTTTTTCTGTTACTATGAGACAATCAACAAGCCATGCAAGCTTATAGAGATATAAAATTTAACTTTGTAATGGTATACAAAAGGGACTTTATACACTATATCATCCAGTGCAAGAGAAAACTAACACCAGTGTAAGAGAAAACTAAATCAGTTACCAAATCCTCAAACCATTCCCCATGCATACTTTCCAATTTAATTGGAACAACAACAGACTTCCACGTCTTGAACATTCAACATGAGAGAACACTACTAGTAGGTCAGCAAGAATAAATGGAAACCACCAGTTAGTTGTCATGCAAAAAGGACTTCATACCTTATATCATCCAGTTTATTTTTGTTTATTTTTGTTTTCATATGTTGACATTAGTTTATTTTTGTTTTCATATGTTAGACATTGCTTGCATAAATCTTCATTGAAAAGATGAAGGAAAAAGAGTGGGTGTGGCTCCACGGGTAAGAATCATATCTTAATCTGTTGGTTCACCAATACTTGTAAAATTGTAGTAATTTAACTAGATCTGGAATGTATTTTGTTCTTTCTCCTTTTCTTTAAAAATAATAGATCCACCCTCGAGTACCAACAAAAAGCATTACAATTTGTAAAGACAGCTGAAAAGAATTTGGGATTTCCTACAAGGATGTTCTGCCCTTGCACGGAATGTCGTAATATGAGCCATCAAGATGGAAGTACAAATTTTGAACACTTGGTTACAAAGGGGATGGATCTTTCGTACCGAATGAAATCACATTGGAATAAGCATGGAGAGAAACAAGAAAGTGGTGAGAAGCTTGATAATGAAGCCACTAAGGACGAGACATATAACTTATTCCAAGCTGCCTACTTTATAGATGAAGAACTTGTTCAGCCTATACCTATTAATGAACCTTCTGAACATGGACATGGTGACGAGTTCATAAGGAGACTAGAAGAAGCACAAACTCCTTTGTATCCAGGCTGCGAAAGTTACACAAAGTTGTCAGCCATTGTAGATTTGTATGGACTCAAAGGCAAGAGTGGATTATCAAGTAAACATTTCAATGAGTTGTTAGGTATCATTAAACGTATGTTGCCAAAGGACAATGTTTTGCTAGATTCAGCCGCCTCGATTAAAAGCTTCCTCAAGATATTTGACATGGGGTATGAAAAGATTCACGCTTGTGTGAATGATTGCTGTCTCTTTAGAAAGAAGTATGAGGAACTGGACAACTGTCCAACATGTGGTGCTTCAAGATGGAAGATAAATAAGCGTAGTAAAGAAATCAGAAAAGGCGTTCCAGTTAAGGTTTTGAGATATTTTCCTATTATTCCTAGATTTAAAAGGATGTTCAGGTCTTCACAAATGGCTAAAGATTTGAGATGGCATTTTGATAACAAAAGCACATACGGGAAAATGCGTCACCCTGTTGATTCTTTAGCTTGGGACCTGGTTAATGATAAATGGCCCTCATTTGCAGCTGATCCACGCAATCTCAGACTTGGACTTTCTACTGATGGTTTCAACTCGTTCTCCATCTTAAGCTCTAAATATAGTTGTTGGCCGGTAATGCTTGTGAATTATAATTTGCCTCCTATGTTGTGCATGAAGAAAGATAATATTATGCTAACATTGCTGATTCCTGGTCCAAAGCAACCGGGAAACGACATAGATATCTATTTGCAACCACTTGTAGATGATTTGCAATTGTTGTGGGAGAATGGGGTTGAGGCTTATGATGCATTTAGCAAATCAACTTTCAATTTGAAGACAATGTTGATGTGGACTATAAATGACTTTCCAACATATGGAAATCTTGCTGGCTGTTCTACAAAAGGAAGAAAAGCATGCCCTATATGTGGGAAAAATACACATCATAGATGGTTACGCTTCAGCAAGAAGTTTTCATACATGGGTCACAGGAAATTTCTGAAACCCTCACATCCATACCGAAGAAAGAAATCATGGTTTGATAATAGTGTAGAACATGGCAGCAAGCCCAGAGCCTTAACAGGTCATAATATTTCTGCTGTTCTAAATGATTTTCCAAATGATTTTGGAAAAGGTGGAGACAAAAAAAGAAAAAGGAATAATAATGAGAATGATGGTGATGATGATGAGGATGAGGATGACACAAGTGACATTGATAATCAGAATGAGCTTACTAGGTGGAATCACAAGTGACATTGATAATCAGAATGAGCTTACTAGGTGGAAGAAAAGATCTATCTTTTTTTCTTTACCATACTGGAAGGTTAGTGTTCTGTTTTTTCTTTTTTTCATATTTTTTATATATTTTGTTTTAGCTTTATAATTGCTTAATGTATTTCTTTATTTTTTTATTTACAGGAACTTGTATTACGTCATAATTTAGACGTGATGCACATAGAGAAAAACATTTGTGAGAGCATAATAAGCACTATGTTGCAAAGTGGGAAAACAAAAGATGGGATAAATGCTCGTAAGGACTTGGAAGATATTGGAATTAGGAAAGACTTGCATCCAGAACAGCGGGGAAGCAGATTGTACCTTCCACCAGCACCACATACATTTTCAAGGTCTGAAAAAAAAAAGATTTTGCAAGAGGATATATGACTTCAAAGGGCCTGATGGTTATTGCTCAAATATCGGGAACTGCATAACATTGGAGGATTGTAAGATTATGGGGCTTAAATCTCATGATTATCATGTCCTAATGCAGCAATTGTTGGCTGTTGCTATAAGAGGATTGTTACCGAAAGAGCCTAGAAAAGCGATAATTCAACCAAGTCAACTTATTTATTCTGGCTCATATACTCAGAAATTAAACAGGAGAGCATTTTTTCTTTGAGTTTTGTTCAAATGGACAACCTGTCCTGTTGACAATAAGCTACATGGCCTAAAACATCTGCATATATAATCATGTGTTCTTGAGGACTTCAAAAACGTGATTTTATTTTTTGTGTTGGTGAACCATTCATTTGCCACCTTTTACTGTGCTGTTAGAGGTCTGTTCTTTATTCAAAATTAGTATCATGTAGATCTCCAATTTGATACCATATCACACACTTTGGTATTGAATATAAGTACATAACTAAGTCAATTATAGTTTGAGAGTATCGAGCACATATGCGCTTTCACTGCACATCATGTATTTATTGGATCTCCCTGCCGTAATTTGTGAGGTCAGTTCCATGTCCCTCCTTCCCTTTCCCTCTCCTCTTCCTCGTGAACACCCAAAACCAACAGCACTGTTAAGGCCAATTTTCTGTGTTGGAATCATAGACAACAATCCATTTTCTTTTTTTGTCAATGGCGCTTGTGTCATCCTCATCCTCATCATCATCACCATCATTCTCATTATTATTCCTTTTTCTTTTTTTGTCTCCACCTTTTCTAAAATCATTTGGAAAATCATTTAGAACAGCAGAAATATTGTGACATGTTAAGGCTCTGGGCTTGCTGCCATAGCGGGTTCTAACACAGCGTTGATTAAAACGCTATGAAATAATACCATAGCGTTTTTTGACCGCTATGGTAGATTTCAGGTGTTGTAGTGTTGGATGATTATTCTGATCACTAGGTGCATGATCTCGTTACCCGTTTGATTTATGGATTCTTATGATTATCATGTTTTAGTAGTGAATCTGCATGTTGATTTTGTTAGATTTCCCATTGTACGTTTTTTTTGTCATTTTGTTAGCGTACTGTTTTCCGCTTTGGTTTTTGTTGTTCTATTTGTTTTGTGGGATCTTTCTGTGTGCTATACACGCTGACGTACACCTGTTTTCTCTGGTGTACGTCAGACTTAAAGGAAGAACAGTTTTAGCAGGAGCTAGAGGATTCTCAGCAGGAGTGCCTTGTAGACGGAGTTAAAGAAGGAGTCGAAGCCTATTCTTTTAATTTATTAGTTAATGGTTCCAGTTTACTTTTGTGCACTACAACACCTGAAATCTACCATAGCGGTCGAAAAACGCTATGGTATTATTTCATAGCGTTTTAATCAACGCTGTGTCAGAACCCGCTATAGTAGGTCTGTGGTTTTACATAGCGTTTCCCCAAACGCTATAAAAAAGTTTCCAACCATAGCGTTTTTATGTAGCTATAAAAGAGTATTCAATAGCGTTTCTATATTCTTATGATAAATATCTTTCATAGCGGTTGAAAACGCTATTAGTTAGTTTCCAACCATAGCGTTTTTATGTAGCTATAAAAGAGTATTCAATAGCGTTTCTATATTGCTATGACAAATATCTTTCATAGCGGTTGAAAACGCTATTAGTTAGTTTCCAACCATAGCGTTTTTATGTAGCTATAAAAGAGTATTCAATAGCGTTTCTATATTGCTATGACAAATATCTTTCATAGCGGTTGAAAAATGCTATTAGTTAGTTTTCATTCATAGCATTTCAACATTGCTATTGTCTTACATTTGATAGTGTTTGAGTTACTACAATGGCGTTTCAGTGAATGTTGTCTTTCTTCTTTTAATAGCATTTCAGTAATTGTTTTCACTTCTTATAGCATTTCAGTTGTGCCTATAAACCTTTGAGGTTGAACTAGAAATAATATCCAATTGTGACAACCATAAAAGCAAATATTTCATTTAAAGATTCAAACTGATACATAACCAAGTTGTAGCATACAAGAAGAGTCAACACAAATGTGCCAAAAAATAAATACTAGTCTTTGGATAGTCCAACATGGAGTACAAGAAATTAACCATAGTACACAAAACAACAGAAACCAAATTTGCTGCATTACATTTGACTTGGAAGACTCATCATCTTCAGCAATTGAGTACTTGTACTGCTGCAAAAAACAGAAATTAACAACACCAATAATGAGATCCTAGAGTCATGAACATTATATGGACACAAAACATAAAACAACAACACCATTAATTAAAAATCACAAGCTTATATTAATTTCTTTAATAATTTTGTTTAAATTTGTTATTAATGAAAATAAGAAGACAATAATTTGTTCTTTATTAATTTCTGCATGAAAACTGGCTTTAATGATAGCAAAGAGAGTCAATACCTTTATTTGAATGGTTAGGTAACTCTTTCTGATCCATGGCTTTTCTTTATGGTCAGGATGAAAGCGATTCACCTTCAGGGTCAGCATGCAGCTGGTACTCTCCAGGTAGCTGGTCTCATTTCCCTATATTGATATATAAGGCTTGAGCATTAATTTCTTGTGTGAATATTGGTGTAAACATAATTGATATAGCTGATTGCTAAATGTATAATACAAGGAGCAAATGTTGCTTACCTTGCTTATCACTGTCAAATGTCCATCAGTAGGATGTGATATTTCATTCTGACCACGTATAACAGTCCCATCTTGGAGTTCCAAAAGGATAATAAAATTAGAAAATCAGCTTTACTTAGACCAAGCCCTACTAGAGATTCTTATGCTTCAAATTCACTTCAAAAATGGTATATCGTCTAGACCACAGGATCTTTTCCGAATCAAGGAAGTGAGAAACTTAGACCTACTCTAAATATTTACGAGCAAATACAATGGCAATCTATAGTAGAATAGCTGCTACACTTAAAAGCATCCCTTAAAGATGTACAATAAACTCTGGAGGACAGCTACTCAGACCATTATGCTTTATGCATAAGAAATTTGGGTGACTAGTAAACAACTTGCATACTGAATGAATGCATAACATGAGAATGTAGGGATTGATTATAACAAGGGGGAAAATGAGGAAATCCAATATACTGTCATTGGTTGTTTCAATTAACTAACAGGCATACGATGGAGCTACCACTTGCATAAGGCTACAGCCTATCACCAAAATATTAATAATGATGAAAACAAAAGATAAACGATGAAATTTTGAGATAATCATGTCGACCAGGACCAACAGGTGCATAAAGAATAACTTACTATGAAGTAGGTAATAAAACCAGAAGTACAAAAAAAACTTGATCGGCTTAGTAAAATGGATTGTTGTCTATGATTCCAACACAGAAAATTGGCCTTAACAGTGCTGTTGGTTTTGGGTGTTCACGAGGAAGAGGAGAGGGAAAGGGAAGGAGGGACATGGAACTGACCTCACAAATTACGGCAGGGAGATCCAATAAATACATGATGTGCAGTGAAAGCGCATATGTGCTCGATACTCTCAAACTATAATTGACTTAGTTATGTACTTATATTCAATACCAAAGTGTGTGATATGGTATCAAATTGGAGATCTACATGTTACTAATTTCGAATAAAGAATAGACCTCTAACAGCACAGTAAAAGGTGGCAAATGAATGGTTCACCAACACAAAAAATAAAATCACGTTTTTGAAGTCCTCAAGAACACATGATTATATATGCAGATGTTTTAGGCCATGTAGCTTATTGTCAACAGGACAGGTTATCCATTTGAACAAAACTCAAAGAAAAAATGCTCTCCTGTTTAATTTCTGAGTATATGAGCCAGAATAAATAAGTTGACTTGGTCGAATTATCGCTTTTCTAGGCTCTTTCGGTAACAATCCTCTTATAGCAACAGCCAACAATTGCTACATGAGGACATGATAATCATGAGATTTAAGCCCCATAATCTTACAATCCTCCAATGTTATGCAGTTCTCGATATTTGAGCAATAACCATCAGGCCCTTTGAAGTAATATATCCTCTTGCAAAATCTTTTCTTTTCAGACCTTGAAAATGTATGTGGTGCTGGTGGAAGGTACAATCTGCTTTCCCGCTGTTCTGGATGCAAGTCTTTCAATTAAATTGGAAAGTATGCATGGGGAATGGTTTGAGGATTTGGTAACTGATTTAGTTTTCTCTTACACTGGTGTTAGTTTTCTCTTGCACTGGATGATATAGTGTATAAAGTCCCTTTTGTATACCATTACAAAGTTAAATTTTATAACTTTATAAGCTTGCATGGCTTGTTGATTGTCTCATAGTAACAGAAAAACAAAATTAAACTAAACCCAGCCTAAAATCCCAAACCCATTCTCATTATCATACCAAGTATACCATTCGAATGAAACATATAATAAACTCAAATCCTAAACCCAGACTAAAATTGAACACCATAAACAAACTAATACGCAATTATCATTCAATACCTAACAGTAAAACAAAATTAAACTCTTACCTAGTTATCAAATTAAACTCAACAAGAATTTCAAAAGGAATTTTAAAGGAATATTGTTCTTTAGATTTCTCCCTGATCTG